GCTGAGCCGGCGTTGCTCGTTTCTCCGGGCCTTGCCGCCCCTCCGGAGGCTGAGGGTGCCGGATCTGCCTGCTGCTCCCGGGAAGGACTCCGGCCGTGGAATAACCGGTTTAAAGCACGGCCACGTTCCTCGGCTCTTTGTGGCCGAGGTCAGTCGCTCCGCGTTGAACCGTCTGCGCTGACCCTCCGCCGGGCTTCGGCTCCTCTCGCTGCGGGGAGCAGAGTTCGGGTCGACGCTGCTGGAAGGGCGAGCTCCCAGCTGCCGTCCCCCCGCCTTGTCTCGCCCCTGCGGGACCCTGCTGTGGGCTGACGCAGCACACCCAGTCTGACAGAAGGCTGGAGAAGTTGCTCGCAGGAGATCCTGCCAAGGAGCGGGGTGCTTGTGAAGGAAGGGAGCCCGGGATCTCTCCTTGCCTAGCTCAGCTGCTCGTGGAAGTGCGGCCTGGCTCGGTCAAGCTTTATTTAGAATACTTACACGCCATCGCAGGAAACTCGTAACTCGAGACCTATCTTTTTGTTTTGTTTGAAGCTTGGTGAAATTTTGGTTTTGCTTTCGGCCCGCTGCTGGCCGATAAACCCAACTTCTGTGCTGAGAAGCATGCTAGATGAATTTCTTCTGGAGCGTGGGAAAAAGCTACTGTGGTTGGTTTTGCTTTTATGGTTTGATTTGTTTTGCCATTCTTCTTCCTAGCGATAAAACTATGCAAGTTGCTCTTGCTGATGGCTGACATCTGCTGGGTTTGTACCCAGAGGGTTTGCGCAGCTCAGGCTCTGCCTTTTGGCCCGTGTGCTGCGAGTGGGGAATTCCGTCCAAACCTGGATCGGAAGCTACCCAGAGAAATTTCCAATGGAAAAGTTGAAATGTTGCTGTAGTTCCTCACACAAATACCAAGCTGTTAATACCAGAGGATGTTTCAATCTCCAGGCAACTTACTCTCTGAAATTAATGTCCTGAAGAAGACAGAAGTTCAGCTGTCCCAACCAGTCCTGCAAGTTTTCAGTGGTTTTGGTGTGGTGTTACTGGTGGTGTGGTAAAAGAGGAAGAAAAACGCTTGTCGACTTCTTTTTTTAAAATCCTAAGTTCTAATGCTGTCATACAGTGTTTTTGAAGTTCAATTATATTTCTAAAACATAATTATTTAATTGGATAAGTGGCGTTGGAATGCACCAGGACAGTTTTATTTGGATCACAAAATCTTTTTGTATATGTTTTTTTGTATTTTTAGGAGCATGAAAGCCTTCAGTGTTTGTCCTGCAATTTTGATGGAACGTGTTGTAGTAAGCATTTTCTGCAGTGGTTTGCAGCCCTCGCTGTCAGGCATGCAAAGCTGCTTTTCCAGCTCCCCAAGTAAGAAGTAAAATTCTCCCTGATAAAGGAGACGGACCACAGCAAATATTTTCTGCATTGTGAATTTCCATTTACTGAAAGATGGGGAAGTGCCATTTTAGTTTTGTAGTTATTATCCTCTCAACACATGAGCACAACGGACCTTTGTGCTGCTACCATGGCTAAAAGCTGTGAGTACAAGTGGGGAAGAGGTAACTATTCATGAAGCAGAAGACTCAAGAGTATAGGGGCAACATCAGCCTCTTCCTGCCACCCCATTCTGTTCATCAGTAGGAGGAGGACGGAAGAGAAACCTTGATTGTTCTAGCACTGAGGGGCGCTTCAGAATTATTTTCTTCCCACAGAAAATGAAGTTTCTGAATGGGATCTGCGGCCTTACAGGAAAACTTTGGCGGTAAACGGAGCCATTAGACCTTTTCTCTGGGCCTTTATCCCCTAGCTGTAGTGGTGGCCACCTTCTGCCTTACGACCTCCGTCCTGAGGCTGAGTAGAAAAGCTGGCAACGTTTTCAGCCTCTCCTTGTCCAAACAGGCGTGGGGAATCCTCCTCGTCACTGGAGAAGCATGGGAGGTTTGCTGACATCTTTCAAGAACAGCCCTTTCACTGTGAAGTCTCACTGGGACTATATCTGCCTTCTTGTGAAAGAAACTCAGAGCTGACCTTGCTTTTCTTCCCTGTAGTTATCTTTGCTTTGGCATTGATTTTATTGCTCTTTTTGTCCTGTGCAGCGTGGATCTTGCTCTACAGCTCTCCTCTTGGCTCCCGTGCTTGCCACTTTTTATCTCTTTGAGGGGAGAAGAACCTTAATAATAACATACAAACTAATTAAAAGAGCTCATTCATATGCCTTACTGTCACAGGCCTACTTTCATGCTCTTTTCTGTGATACATTGTTTAATCTATAACAGGAATTTTATTACATATATGGATGAATACATATTGTATAATATGGAAGGAATTTATACAAGGGAAGCATCTTTCTAATTATAGCTCAAAACTAAGTGTTTGAGAGTTTTGGCTAATACAAACCATCACCCATTTTGGTGTTCATTAGCTATTTGTTTTCCTAGAGCATGCTGTAAATTATAAGGTGTCTGCATCTGAGAACTTCGCTTTGGCTAGAGGCACCGGGAGAGTAGTGTGCTGGGTCCCTTCACTCAGACTTTCCAGGACAAAGAAGTACGTGATAAATCCTCTTCCTGTAGGTCCTGTCCGCAAAAAGAAATTGCTGCGAGAATGGATTTGGAAGTAGAGATTGCGGATGAGTAAAAACGGTTAACAGTTTTGTTTCACGATGAGTTATCAAGGGTTATGGGCAGTTGTTCTTTGAATTATTTTAACTTTGTGCCGAGTAGCTCAACGATAACACGTGCACTTGGTTGTTTACAAATACTGCAGGAGCAAGAGAAAAGCTAACTTTGTAAGTTAGTGGTGACTCCCCTTTGTCTTCGCAGGTAGAGCAAAGAGCCACATCACATATTCTGTAGGTGAAGAAATTATGAAGCTGGGCTTTTTCAGTCACCTTTAATATTGCCTTCTTAGAGTAGGGGTCCATGAGGTTTGAAACATAAACTTTGGATGAGCTGAGCAAGCAGAGAGTAATCAAATCATATCATATGGCGTATCACCTGGGTCTCTTGTGAAAATTCAGTTTCTGGGTATTGCATCAGTGAAGAAAGACGTAAGTCTTGAACTGTTATTATGAATACATGAGTTATTTTCATTCAAAGTCCTTGCTGGGTTTGGCAAGCCTATTTTTCCTGCACTGCTAGCTGAGAAGCCAAAAATGGTTCTGCCTGGACAGGGAGCCGACTTTGTGCCTGCCATCTGGTGGCCAGATACCACAGCTAACTGGACTGGTTGCAAGAACCCAGCTGAGGCTCTGTCTTAAGGATACTCGAGAAAAAAGCAGATCCTTTTCTCACTGAGCTTTGTCTTGGATGGGCATTGTTTTTTGCGCGGTTTCCCTGGAGGAGAAACAGATTTTGTAAGTTCTGTTATCATCTTTCTTCTCTTTCCTAGGACATGATGGAGCTGCTAGAGGAGGACCTCACCTGTCCCATTTGCTGTAGCCTGTTTGACGATCCTCGTGTCCTGCCCTGTTCACACAACTTCTGCAGAAAGTGCCTGGAAGGAATTCTTGAGGGAAACGTGCGGAATGTGCTTTGGAGGCCGTCCCCTTTCAAGTGCCCCACGTGCAGGAAGGAAACTCCCGTTACCGGAGTCAGCAGCTTGCAAGTCAACTATTCCCTGAAAGGTATCGTGGAGAAGTACAACAAAATCAAAGTCACTCCAAAAATGCCTGTGTGCAAAGTGCACAGCGCGCAACCCCTTAACATTTTTTGCCGGACAGACATGCAGCTGATCTGTGGGGTTTGTGCCACCCGTGGTGACCATACAAAGCACGTGTTCTGTTCTATCGAAGAGGCTTATTCCCAGGAGAAGCGGGCTTTTGAAACCCTGTTTCAGGGCTTTGAAACCTGGCACTGTGGAGATGCCCTCTCGCGGCTGGATACCTTGGAAACCAGTAAGAGGAAGGCTCTGCAGATGCTGACCAAAGATTCTGACAAAGTGAAGGAGTTCTTTGAGAAGCTGCAGCACACGCTGGAGCAGAAACGAAATGAGATTCTCTCTGACTTTGAGACCATGAAGCTGGCGGTGATGCAGGCCTATGATCCGGAAATCAATAAACTGAACACAATTCTGCAAGAGCAGCGGATGGCTTTTAACATCGCAGAGGCCTTCAAAGATGTGTCTGAACCCATTATATTTCTGCAACAGATGCAGGAGTTCAGGGAAAAAATCAAGATGCTCAAAGAAACCCCTTTACCTTGTTCCAGCGTGGACATCAGCCCTACGATGAAGAGCTTTGATACCAGCCAGTGGAATGGAATAAAACTAGTGGATGTGGACAAACTTTCCTTACCGCAGGAAAACAGCACTCTTAAATTCAAAATTCCCTCAGTCTTTTCGCGCAGATTTATAGTGACCTCTCTTATTTGCTTGTTTATTCTTGCTGTCACCAGAATGTCCTTCGTGGAGTCAGTCGTTGACAATCTCCAGTGCTGGAAATCTCAGTTCTTTACAATTAGCTTGTCCTATTTGGCAGATACAGTGGAGATAGCAGATCATGCTGTCTTTTACTGGGAACAGATGACAGATGGAGCTTCACTTCTAAGAGAAAAGTGTAAAAACTATACGTTGGTTGTACTGGATAATGTTGCACAGTTTGTGTGCAAATATAAACTCTTGTAAAGTCCCTGCTGAAATACAAGAATGAAGAGAGATCTGGTGAAGAAAACGTAGAACTTCTTAAAATTAATTGTTTTTTAAAGACTTCCAGTGGGAACATTCATGCTGTTTGCATCGTTTGAGCACGAATAAACTGGAAGATGAAATGGAGCTTTGAAGAACACGTTGTTTCTGGATTCTTTTGTCAGTGGCAATTATGGGAATATTATTGACTGTAAATCGTATTTCTTACCAAATCATAAGGCCAAACTGTGTACTTAGTTTAATATTAATGTAATTGTAGAACACAACAAAAAGTGCCACTTCCTAAAAAGTCACAGTTAATTTTTTTTTTTTTTTTTTGCTAACTGGGAGGTGGTTTGGAAAGAGGAAGAATGGTTGTGATTGAGAAGAGCGCTGTACTGAGAGGCTTCTTGGGGACTGCCCGTCCCCTGCAAAATACAGAGTGCATCGTTCACGTTCTGGATCCACTTTCTATCTGAGGATGTTACTTCTCGCTGAAATAGATACATGTATTTTTTGTATAACCAAATGTTGTAATTATCCCTTGCATTCAGATTGCTGTAGATATTGGTTATTGTTTACATGTTCTATACAAAAATATATCTTCAGGGCAAGCATAAATTCTAGGGGTAAAGAGAAATCAGTTGAGGTTGATAAGAGAAGAACAAGCTGCAAGGTAGTATGAACTTTGCAGACAGTACATACTTTGCAGTTTACTTTTCCAGCATGAAATTGTTGGGGTAACTTGAGCTGTCTTGTTAGATCCACGTTTCTCTGCAGCCACACTTTCTTTAAAAAGTGGCCTTACTGTAAACAGTGCAGTGTGGTGAAAGGCATGGACCGGTCAGCCACACGAAGGCAGCTCGAGCCTCACAAAGGTGGCAGGTGGAGCAGTTTGTCTCTGCTCCCTCTGTGTCTCTGCAGATCGTAATTCCAAAAGCCAGGGAGAATGATGGGACGATTCCTTGGAACAGAGTGCACAGCGTGACAGGAGTGTGGATGTTGTTGGTCTTTGGAAGTGCTGTAGTGCTGGAACATATATAGGCTCTTCTACTGTTACTGTATTTTTGTGTACCTTGTTTCAGGAATTAATTGAATTTTGTGAGTGTATTGACTCAGCTGTAAGATAACAGTGATTTAAAGTGAACTGGAAGCTAGACTTCTCTGAAATGCCTTTCTTTAAGAGCTTACCATACTGAAATACATTGCTTGAAGCACATCTAGCCTCTTCTTGCTGTGGTCCTATGAGCAGCAATATATAGAATGAAAACATTTAGTTGACATTTCTGGGAAACAAATGTAACATGTGCCATACTTTCGGGATATTCGTTGGCCTCTCAAGGTTTAATAAGTTGTGACGGTCAATTCACTGTCTTCTAGTAGTCCTTGCAAGCTGTTCATTTCAAAACTAAAACATTAAATTCCAAGAGTCAAAGTTTCCAAGCAACCAAACCCTGCAAACAAAACTACTGCACATGATATTTACATCTTTGTTGCCTGGGAATCCTGTTGCTGTTCCACACCTCACTCCAAACATTTTGCTAAAAGCACTGAATGGTTCTTGCAGCTGCGGTTGTCTTGCAGGTTAGGAAAGATCAAGTCAGAAACATGTAGATCAGAGAGTTACAATTCTTGAGTGGCTGAGAGAGCAATGAGTAATCGAGAGGTGGTAGTTCTGAGCGTCGGAGGTGTGAGATTTGTAACCCAGGCTTCCACCTTGCAGCAGTTCCCTGAGTCCAGGCTAGCACGGATGTTGAACAATGATGACTGGGAATTTAAACTGGTGAATGGAGAGTTTTTTGTGGACAGAGATGGAACTTTGTTTAGTTACATCATGGACTTCCTGAGGACTCTCCAGGTCTCCTTACCTACCGATTTCTCAGACTATCAGAGGCTGCAGAGAGAAGCAGAATTCTATGGGCTCTACCCTCTGGCCGACCTCCTGAGCCAGGAACACTTGCTGAAGCCGAGGCTGGAGATCTTGGAAGTGCGTTTCTCTCTCCAAGAGATGCAGGCCTTTTTCCGGATCTTTGGCTCCTGCAGTACCACTGTGGAGACTCTAGCTGAACAGATCACTGTGTTTACAGGGCAGCAATCAGGACAGAGCTGGAACAGCCCTTTTCCTTCTCAGAAACCACTTGTTCCAGTTCCTTTGGAAAGACCATCTCATCACGACATGGTTTTTCGGTGTGGTACTGACTACTCTGCTGGTGACCAGTTTGTGGCCAGGTACTCTCCCCAGTCTGACTTCTCTTTATGGAAATGTCTTTGTGACTTCCAGTTCATGAAGTGTGCGCTGTGTGCTAGCAAAGCTTGTGTTAAAGAAACTATCAGACAGCTGTCTGAGATAAAAGAAATAGATTTCCTTCTTTCTGCTAGTTTAATGTTATCTTTTTCTAGTTCTGAAATACCCAGTTTAATTTCTGTTACACTGATATTTGCCTGTTCTTCAGCTTTCTAAAATACTGTTCTTGATGCTTGTTTTTGAGTTCTGTTGGGGCTTTCTCTCTCTCTGCTCTTTCCACCTCACTTGCTGTCCCAGGCTTTAGAATTTCACAGCATCAGTGACCTTCTAGAGGACTTGAAAAACACAGAGTAAAATGAAGCAAAGGAAACAAAATAAGGAGTGAACTACTGGGGAAGCCGAAAGTCTCCACCAGCTCATGGTCCAAAAGACTTTCGTATGGAAAAGAGGAAAAAGAGAATGGCTAAACAGGTTAAAAACACCAGTGGAACTAAGACAGAAATCAGGGACTGGAAAGCTTTTGGAGAGCCTTTTCTTGGAGGGAGGGAGAAGGGGTAGATTATTAACTATATGCTACACAGTGGGTTTTCTTTGAATTCAGAGCCAGGTTCTGTTTTTATGAAGATTACTGTATATCAGTGATTTTTGTGATAGCAGTATCGTATTCTAATGACAACTTAGATTTTTTTAAACAAGCTTTTGCTGGATGTCTCTATTGTTTGGAGACGTGTTCCTACTGTATAAGAAAATGTAACCTGATTTGTCCTCTGTGGCTGTTAGAACATCTGGAATTTTATGGGAATTTCACTGAAATATTTCCAAAAGGGTTATTTTCTCTGAATATATGAATGAACACAGCAGTCTTTTGATTATTTAAAATAAATAATAAACTTTATGTTTCTTCTAGCTTTCTTTAGCTAAGAAAGTAGAAGAAAAACTACTTTGCATTTGCAAAGCAACATACATTTATATGCCAAACCTTAACTTTATAATGTATTACTGATTTTAATGGACTAACAATTGGTTGAGTAACTTAGGGCAACTTAAATAGTGAGGAAAATGTTCCTGATTCTTCCTTTGTTTCTTCAGACTTTGTAAAAATTTTCCTCTGTGGATCAATAGAAAAGCTTATCTTGAGTAATGAAAGAAGTGAAGTTTGATTATGTTGCCTGCTGAATTTCTATTGACTTAGTCTTTGTGGTGACTGTTTTGCCTTTTTAGTGCTTTCCATGAATGTTTGGTGTACTTTCCCATGAGCTGTGGAACAGTTTCACCCCTGTCAGCTTATGTATTTTGTAATAGTATTTTTACCTGACCTCTGTTCCTCAAAATGTCTGGATAGATTCTTAAACTGTACTTTATATCAAGTAAAATCATTTGAGGCAATGTGAAAATGATTTCCATACTTGTTACCACAAGACCTGCTGTACAAGGTAACTTTGCAATAAATGTCACTGTTTGTAGAGAGCGATCCCGTGTAATGAAAAGTGATGCTGCTGGGGTGAGCGTGACTTCACTGTCCTTTCCGTCATTTACTCTTGCCTGAAAAACTGTTGCAGCATTATACAGAGCATGCCATTCACCTCTCCTCCATTCAATGAAATGAGATGGAGGTTATCACAGATGTTTCTTAAGAAAGTAAGTTTTGGTGTGGGGGTCAAAGAGCAGTGCTTCTTCCCCAACATGTTACTGGAGGTTGCTGTAAACCCATGCAGCTGTGCTGACTCGCACCATCTGAGGACCTGGTTTGTTTTAAAAAAATTGATTCCATCCTTCAAGAAGTAATTAAAGTGTGTTGTAACTGGGTTTTTTTTGTATTTTAGGTATGTTTCCATAAAGCCTGATAATAGAAAGCTGATTAACGGTACGAATGTGCTAGGCCTGCTGCTTGACACTTTACTCAAAGATGGATTTCACCTCATAAGTGCCAGGACCATCTCCAGTGAAGAAAAAGTCGAATGTTACAGTTTCGAAAGGATGAAGAGGCCAGCAGGCCTTACCATCACAGTGGACCAAACCCCAGGGAGCTCCGGGATAGCACAGGCAAAGAGAAGCCAAGCGCAGAAAGGGAAATAAAGGCTTCTCCTTTCATATTTGAAAGTGGAAGAGGGGTGTGTCAGCACTAGTGGCCTTTTTCTCTTGGCTTGTTTGAAACTGCAACTATCGAGGGAAGTAACAAACAAACAGAGTTTTGTTTTTTTTCAAGTATTCAGGAAAGAAAATTGCTTTCCTGCCTTTTACCACTCCACCCGCTTCAACTTTAAATAAAAGAGCCATGGATTCAATACTGGTTTTGTGGAGCAGATTCCAGCATTTTCAAGGCTTGTTTTTGTTTGTGGCTAAAATTCATTCTAGGACTCACAAAAAATCAGCCATTCCTTCTAGAAAATAGTTTTTATGTTCTGTGCTAATCTGTCAGTAGATTTTAAATATGTGATAATACATGAAGAAATAACAGCTTGACACAACTGTCATCCCAACAGTTTGGAGAAGTGGCTGGAGGAGGAATGCAAACCCCGATGACTGGATATTGCTTCTACTTTCAAAAGATACACATACACTGATTGTCTTGCAGTTAGCTGAAAGCAACGTAGCAGCAACATCCCATGTTGTATTGCTGTGTGACTCCAGACACGGGAACGTGGCGTGAAGCCACCGCTAGTGTCCATGAAATAACGCGCTACTGTCTCTCACAGAATGCTCCTCTGTCCTCTCCTCCCACTCCAAAGGCATTAAGCAGCCCTTCAGTGCTGAGAATTAAATGATAAAGGTTTTTGTGAACAAAGGGTCAGTTAATTTTTAGAGCTTTAACACTGAAAAGAATGAAAATGTGATAGTCCTTCAGATGGAAGAGCTAGTACGGTTTTAAACAAAGGATTTCTTAACGCTTGCTAAATGCAAAACATATTTAGGAGGAAGGCTTGGCAGAAGTGGCTTTAAAAGCCTTGGGAGTGTTGGCCCTGTACAATGCTTTGTAAAGATGCCAAAATTAGCTCAGGTACCAGGAGAGGTTAGTTAATGAGGCCTTACAAATTAAGAATTTTTTGTCCTCCCTTCAAGGCAGGGAAAGAAGATAGCAATAACTTCAAGGATTCATTATTTGAGTCTGACTTTTGTTGTTGATAAAACACCATCTTTCCAAAGTTACAAACAGTCAAGCAGAGCTTGCCTGGGCTTTCTTGGCTCACTAATTAGATCTGGCTTTTCATTAGCTTTAAAATGTGAATTTGTTACTTCATTTGCACCACTTAAAAATGGGGGTGGGTGGTGGGAATCACCTGCCTGTTTCTTCCCCTTAGGAGTTTCAGTGAAAGGGATCTTCCCAGACTGGTGGTGCCACTATCGGACATCTCTCTTCTTTTGCTACCACTGTAGTGCATTTAAGCTTGATGCAAGTTCAGAAGTTCAGTGGCAACAGTGAGGTCCACTTTGCTTGTTCTAGGGCTTTCTGGGTTGAGAATAACGTGATTATGGGACTACATCTCCTAAGCTGCTTACAGGTTATATAATGTAATAAATGTTGAGGAACACAAGAGTGAATGCTTTCAGTTCAAGTGGGATTTTTTTGTCAATAATGTCAATATGTTCATATTCATCTTGATATAAGACATTTTTTTACAGTGAGAACCATGATTCAGTGGAACAACCTCCCCAGGGGTGTGGTGGAGTCCCCATTGCTGGAGGTTTTCAAGGTGTGATTGGACAGGGTCATAGAATCGTAGAATGGTTTGGGTTGGAAGGCACCTTATAGATCATCTAGTTCCAACCCCCCTGCCATGGGCAGGGACACCTTCCACCAGACCAGGTTGCTCAGAGCTCCATTGAACCTGGCCTTGAACACTGCCGGGGAGGGGGCATCCACAGCTTCTCTGGGCAACCTGTGCCAGTGCCTCACCACCCTCAGAGTAAACAATTTCTTATATCTGATCTAAATCTATCCTCTTTCAGTTTAAAGCCATTACCCCTTGTCCTGTCACTCCTGCCCTTATAAAGAGTCCCTCTCCAGCTTCCTTGTAGACCCCTTCAAGTACTGGAAGCCTGCAATAAGATCTCTCCCTGCAGCCTTCTCTTCCCCAGGCTGAACAGCCCCAACTCTCTCATCCTTTCCTCACAGGAGGGGTGCTCCAGCCCTCGGATCATTTTTGTGGCCTCCTCTGGACCTGCGCCAACAGCTCCCTGTCTTTCCTGTGCTGAGGGCTCCAGAGCTGGACGCAGGACTCCAGGTGGGGTCTGACCAGAGCGGAGCAGAGGGGCAGAATCCCCTCCCTCGCCCTGCTGGCCACGCTGCTTTTGATGCAGCCCAGGATACGGTTGGCCTGCTGGGCTGCGAGTGCACACTGCCAGGTCATGTTGAGCATGAGTGTGCTAGATAATCTCACCTGGGCTCCCTTTCCCATGAAAGGTTGGACCAGGTGATCTTTGGAGGTCCTTTCCAGCCTGGCCCGTTCCGTGATTCTGTGAAGAAGCTCTGTGCCAGATGGCCTGTCATGGTGGACTTTGAGGTCAGACTGCTGATGGCAGCGTTTGAGTGACGCAGCAGACAAGCTGTATGGTATCACTGTCCTGAGAGGTTGCTCTTACTACAAAGACAACGCTACTTAGATTTTCTAAGTTCATTTTGAGGTCCATGTACTGACTTTCCAGAAGAGTTCCCATGCCTCAAACTGGGACAAAACTGAAAGCAATGATGATGAGTATTGAGTGAGTCAGTGACTGGGAATATTGCTGGTGAAGAGACTTGCCAATAACAGCAAGAAACACAAGACAAAAGGGAAAGGAAAAACATGAACTTGAGGCTGTATTTAAATATCACGCCTTAAATGATCTCTGATAGCAGCAGTGGAAATTGGGATGAGTTTCAGAACCTCTTGCAGTAACAAAATTATGCTACTTCACCTGCAGCAGAAATAGTGAGATTATTTTCCTTGCTGTAGCTGCCACTTTGAAAACTGAAGTTTGGATTACCTTTTGTTTTAAATAAAGTCAAAGAAAATATTAAATATTTCCATTTTAAAAAAGCCCTGGAGTTTTACCCTATGCCATCACTCATGCTCCATGGCTTTGGCAAAATTAATATTTGGTACAACCATTTCAGTAACACAACTTGCGAAGGGCTAGTGCTGAACACTTTCTGGTTCCTCTCGTGGGTTAATTTTTATTCAGCACATCATTCACAACATCATTCTACGAATGTAATATTTTGGCTCTGAGAAAAGATACCAGTGCAAGTTCCTGTCCTGTAAAGAACCATACATGCTTCACCTTGACCTCGTGTAACAGCGTGCTGTGAGACTACACATCTTTTTGAAACAAAGCACATGACTGTCAGCAAGTCGGGATCCCCAAAGTTCTTATAGCATTTACTCAGCACTGAACTGAGAAGCGTCACCCGCTGTCACTTGTGCACTGGCAGGGAACATGACTAGGCTCTTCCACAATGCTTTCGGTTCATTGTGGGTTTTTTTTTTTGACACATAGTTGCTTAAGTATGTTTGAGAGCATGCGTGTGTGTGAGTAACCTGGCAGAAATCTTGTGGAACTGACAGAGATCAGTGGGATAACCGTACCTTTTAATTGAAGATAATTTGGTATAAGCTGGTTCTTCCAAGGAAAGCACCTTCCTGGATTTCTTTATGCAGAAATTGGAAGCAGTGATGGTAGAGCTACAGGTGTTGTAGCTTCAAGCTACAACAAAATGGCAGTAATCATGGAGGAAAGCATGAAAGTATGTTCATTTGCAGGCAAATGAATATAAAAATAGCATGAAGTTACTAGAAGGGGCTTCAGCTGGCCTGGGTAGCTGCTGCCCTCCACCTTCCAAGATTATTTATGTTACTGTGAAGTGTCACTGAAGCAGGACGGCAGTTTTTCTGTGCCCTCTTAGGAGTGGTGCGCAGCACATCCTGCAGGCACTGAGGCAGCTGTTTAGAAGTAGTGGCAGATATTTTCACTGCGCCTTTTCCCTTCTGAGGTCCAGAACAGGCAGGGGCGCAGCAGAGAGCAGATTGTGTGGTGTGTCATCAGCAGAGTGGTTCACACTGGTGCATTGCCACAGAAGATAACAGCTCTACAAGTAGAAGTGAACTTGGCCGATGGGAGCCCAGATTAGCTATGAGTCTGAGTGATTTTGAAAGCCTTCTGGTCAAAACCAGATGATGGGTTAAACTGAGTACTTTCACCCAAAGCTTGGCAGGCAAGCCAACTCTAGTATCTCACCATATGATCTCCGCTGGACTAGAAGTGTATTGTAGGTGACTTGGTCCTGCTTTTGCATACCACAGAACCAGGAGCTCTGATCGCTCACATCTAGCTCTATTTTTGATTAAGCAGGAATGGGATTTTGAAATTTAGACTTTTTTCTTCCAATGAAGTTGGAGTTTGTGACCACCAACATGACCCACTTCTTCAAGTCATTGCCAACTTTCGGAACAGAGTTCCCTGTTCCTGGGAAGGTGCAAAATTTGCTGATTTCAGTAAGCTTACTGCTATGTTTTCCTTTTTATTCTCCCTTGGATTCAGGAAAAATGTGCAAACTGTTCCACTGCCTGAGATGCTAGAAACTGTCTGCTGTAGCGGTGGGGGGCAGCCCTCTCGCTCACTTACATCAAGCAGTGAGCTCTCTTCTGCTTTTTAACATGCAAGTGAAGTCCCAGGACAGTAAGATCTCTAGAGGGAAAAGAAACTGAATGGTAGGGTAATGCCGTCATTCTGTCCTACACAGATTGCCGTTTACATGGCAGGAGTAGATTGTTTAAATAGCTTGGTTGTCTGACAGCTTGCTGCTAGATTTGTAAAATACAGATCATTCAGAAAGACAACAGCTAATCTGTCTTATATTTTCTTTCTTATTGTAATCACTTTTACCTCCTTTATAGATGGATTTCATCCTGTATTTCTATATTCAAGACTGTCAAGAGCTTTACCAGTAAAGCCTTGAGATGCATGTTGGATATCCCACCAGGATAGAGGCACCACACTTTTTCCATCCCCCTGTTCTTGCACTGTGTTGACTTCCTTTCATAGGGATTGATTACATTTTTGGGCTTTTAAGTAACTTTTTGTCTGCTTCTTCACAT